AAAAAAGTCAAGTTCTGTCAGTTCAAGTTTCTCCAAGTGTATAATAGTTATATTCATTGTTCATGGTCTTCACAGTTTCTTTCATCCCAGTCATAAAATGGTGTCCAATTTTCTCTCATTTTTGTTTACTTCAGTCTTTTAACAACTCCAACAATATATCAATTTTTGCTGTTTCAATTTTTTTTGTCAAAAGTTCATTTTCCATTGGTATCTCTGATTTCTTCCAGTACTTAGCATAAAGAATTCTTGCTGCCCAAACTATATGTATATTTAAGTGCTTAACTTCTTTATCGTTACATCAGCCATAAGATTAAGCAAAAGTATTTCAAGTTTGAATGGTCGCAGTATCAAACATATTTTTTGTAATATTTCATGCACCCTGCTCCAATATAACATCACCTCTTTACACTTCTACCAAACATGAAAAAGTTTCCCACCCATATCTTACATTTCCAGTATTTGTCAGACATTCCTGGGTACTTTCTGGCTAATTTCTCTGGTGTTGTATGCCATCTATAGAACATTTTATATAGATTCTCTTTAAAGGAAACCGATTTTGTTATTTTAACATTTATTTTCCATATTTGCAACCAATGAAGAAGATCAATATTATAGCCAAAAGTTTGGGCCCATTTTATAGATTTATAGTTTTTGGAATTCTGATTGGCTACTGCTTCAATGCCACAGTTGCTGTTGTTTTCAAAGAGGAGGTTTTTTTTATTTCACTAGGAATGGGTGCCATAGGGCTGGATCCAGCTGCTATTTCATTCCTCTTGTCACCCAATCCCCGTCCTTTTTACTGCTTCCATTTCACATGGCTTTTGTCAGTGAAGGTTCCATGATCACCAGCATAAATTTTATGGTGGTCAAAGGGACTCCTCCTCTCTGTTTCAGCAGTGGAAAACCTTTTGGGATCCACCCATGGTTATGTATCTGGTGTGATTTGAGTATATGACCATATTGTTTATTCCTGAGGAAAGAGGTATTTGGAAATTTAAGCAAAGAGGTAGCCAATGACTGCTGCACAGAAGTTCATCTTGAAATGCCATCACCTGGATGCAATTTACTAGGAATTGATTCCATATTTCAAATGTGTGTTTGGAGACTGTGGTCACATGGTCAGGCTGCAAACAAGTAGCTCCATCTCTGACTCCTCCCCTCAAAAAAATTGCCCAAAGGAGGGAGAGGGTTCATGACTTGAGAAGGTTTCAGCAAATAAGGTCCACTTTTGTTTAGTTGTAGATTTTTTTAAAAGTCATGTCAATTGTGCCTTTCCCCCCTTTTACAGATGAAGCCGACAGCAAATACAACAGGTGTAAACTGCACAGACATCTCAGAATTCATCATGCTGGGCTTTGGAAGCTTCCATGATTTACAGTTCCTTCTTTTCCTGGTGTTTCTGGCGATCTATATAATAACTATTGCAGGAAACCTCACAATTTGTTTCCTGGTTGTGTCCAGTTCACATCTTCACACTCCCATGTACTTCTTCTTGGGAAACTTGTCCTGTATGGAGACTTTCTACAGCTCAGTCATCTTGCCCAGGATGCTAACTAGTTTATTAACTGGGGACAGGGCCATTTCAGTTAAGGGTTGTGTGGTTCAATTATATCTCTTTGGATTTCTGGTGTGCACTGAATGTTACCTGTTAGCTGTGATGTCTTACGATCGATACCTAGCAGTTTGCCAACCACTGCATTATGGAGCCCTAATGAATGACAAGTTCTGTCTCAAGCTCGCAGCTGGTTCTTGGTTATGTGCACTGCTGCCAATTAGTATAATAGTAATTGTGATGTCCTCTTTACATTTCTGTGGTCCAGCTGACATAGACCATTTCTTTTGTGATTTCCCTGCTTTCATAAAACTTGCCTCCGGAGACACACAGTTGGTTCAGCTTTTAGCTTTTGTACTTTCAGCAATAGATACTCTTCCCCCATTTGTTTTAACCCTGACATCCTATTTTCATATCATTGCTACCATCCTGAGAATCCCATCAACCACAGGGAGGAAGAAGGCATTTTCCACCTGTTCCTCACACCTCACTGTGGTTACCATTTTCTATGGAACCTTAATGGCTGTATACGTTTTACCAAAAAGTGAAACTTGGAGTGACATGAACAAAATATCTTCTCTCTTTTATACTGTCCTGACTCCCATGGTCAATCCACTTATCTACAGTCTGAGAAACAAAGAGGTAAAAGAAAGTCTGAGAAGATGGATCAACAACTTGCTAGCTTTCCAGAAACTCTGAGACTGGTGGGAAGCCAAATTAAGAGATGCTACAAAGGATGGATTAAAAAAACCACACTCTTGGATTGGATCCAACCAGCTTTTCCATTGGTGAAAAGGGGGAAAGGGCTGATGTAGTTTTATGGATAGATTAGAACCTGGGACCACCAATTTGAATACCCAGTTCAGCCATGGAAACCTACCAAGTGACCTTGGGCTCTTCACAATCTCTCAATCTAACCTACCTTCAAAAGAATGTTGTTATAAAGTTTAAGTGGAGGAGGGGAGCAATGTGAAAAGCTGCACTGGGTCTCTAATCAAGGTGAGAAGCAGGATATGGATACAAAATAAGCATAAAATGACCTGTTTTGATCCTGAAGAAATGATGTGCTAATGGTCATACAACCTGCATGGACAAATCTTGTGTGGTATGACAGTTGTAAAAAAGAGAACAAATGGTTGTGATTGAGCAAAATAGGTGGCTGGATTCAACCCCTAGTAATCTTCTTTAAGCAGATGTTATCAGGAATTCTGGTATAGAAACACAAGCCCCCTCTGAGATTTTAAGAACTTCTGGGCAGTGACATATCATAGTTTGTAAAGTGCCACCGCTGATGGCATTACATAAGTACTAATGGGTGGGTAGTGGCTATGTAGTTTATTTTAATTTTATTTTTCTATGTTTATAGTCTGTCTTTCTCACTGGTACTCAAGGTAGATTACAGTTGTATATCAATGTGATCAATAATATGAGGCTTCCAATAAGCAATGCATGAGGACTAGTATTTACAGAAACCTGAAACAAGCATAGGATCTTATGTATGATTCAAAATGAAGCAAAATGTTATTATACCAGTAGAAAATAATAGAGAGAGAGAGTCAGAGAGAGACTGCTGAATTGCAACTGATAATGAAGCTGAAGACGATGCATCCACCTGGATTGAATGGAAACCTAGGTTTCCTATCTCATTACCAATGCTGATTTCTCCATGCGCGCCTAAATCCAATCACACCTGCTATTGACATTTGCCTGCTATTGTCATACACCATCTGAAATCATTCCACTTTCCAATCTATAGGACAGATGGACTCCCATTCTAACTGAAAAAGTGAACAGTGACTCATGAAAGCTCATACCCTGTCACTTATTTTGTTAGTCTTGAAGGTGCTACTGGACTCTTGCTCTTTTTGATTGCTACAGACAGACTAATGTGACTACCCATCTTGGCTCTTGGGAGATGAGTTAATAGGCCCAAGGGGAGTCAATAGCTTCTATAGTGTAATTTTTAGAGATCAGGTGTGATACAAGGAGATCTTCACCACACCTGGAGGTTGACAATCAGGGCTCTTTTTGTAGCAGGAACTCTGTTGCATATTAGGCAACACACCCCTAATGTAGCCAACCCTCCAAGAGTTTACAGTAGCCCCTGTAAGAAGTGCTCTGTAAGCTCTTGGAGGGTTGGCTACATTAGGGGTGTGTTGCCTAATATGCAAAAGAGTTCCTGCAACAAAAAGAGCCCTGGACAACCTTATACACTATACAGTCACACAGGCACAACAGAAAAGCCGAAAATGTTTAAACCCTAATCTACCTTATACACTATACAGTCACACAGGCACAACAGAAAAGCCGAAAATGTTTAAACCCTAATCTATTATCAACCTACTAATGTACATGGAGGAGAGGGGTCAGACCATATGGTAACAGCTCTGCCCTGGATGGCAATAGTCTCTTTCCCCAGGCAGGCAGGCAGGCAGGCTCTCCTTTCCTTTTCTTTAAGTCCTTCTTTGTGAAGAGTGGTTCAGCCCAAATCCAAATTTTGTAGGAATTCAGATAATGCTAATAACAAAAAAATGCAGACAGTGCCATTATTTGTAAATTGAGGGTGGCAAATGGGTATGGACTCCCCAAAGTAAACACATTCTTTTCTCCCTTTTTCTTTTTAACCACAAAAACTGCTGTGAAGTTGTTTTCCCCAAAATGCATTCCAGTATATTGGAATCCTCAATGTGGGGCCCATGGATGCTGTGGTACTGTCCAACACCTTTCCTGATGTCTGCCAAATGCTTTTAGATATGGGTGGGGCTAGGTGGGGCTTTTGCTGAGCAGGGCTTCTGATTGGCTGTGGAGCTTTAAAAGGCATCCTGTTCAACAGAGCTTCTGCCTGAAATGTTGAAGAGTTACTATTAGATTTAGATATAATCTCAATCCCTGACATTTGGGGGTTGGCTGTGCCTGCTACAGCAGCCATTTTGTGACTAGTTCCACTTCTTGTGGCAGCCATTTTTTTACTAGTTCCACTTCTTGTGGCAGCCATTTTGTGATTTTGCCCACAAGTTCAGAAAGGTTTGGGATCCCTGCAGCATTTTGTATCCAGTAACTGACCATGCAATCCTATGCAAAGATTTTCCAGTGTAGTTTAATTGAAATTAATGAATTTAGAGAGGAGTGGCTCTGCATAGGATTGCACTGCCAGCACATATCAGAATCTGAAAATGTGTTCCCAAGCACCTGCCAGAAGTGTAGAAAAAAGTACCAGTTGTTATAAGAGGGATTTTAATCTAATAAAAAATAAATTAACACACAATGTTGTGTTATACTGAATCAGAACCTCGGTCCATCAGGGTCATTATTGTCCACTCAGACTGGCAGCAGCTCTCCAGGTCTTATACAGAGGTCTTTCACATCACCTACTGCTAGACCCTTTAATTGGAGATGCCAGGGATTGAAGCTGGGACCTTCTGCATGCCAAGCAAGTGCTCTACAATTTAGCCATTGTCCCTCCTGTGACCACAAATGCCAATCATACTACAATGAATGAAAATACTACTCAGCTAACAAACTTTAGGTGGAAAACTGGAAATAAAGGTGTAAAAACAAATGACAACAGAATGTACCAATTGGCTTCTAACCTATTTAATCATTGTAATCCCTGGTTTAGTTGTCATGTATTTTCAGGTTTTGGGTTTCATGAATTTTCTTCTAAGATTATTTGGCAATTTGTGGGGTCCAACCAACTTTTCTGGTGGTGAAAAAAGGATGAAGGAGTCCCCTTTGACTGCACACACGCACAAAAGGTTATTCTAGGGTTCATTGGAACTTCATGTATAAAAGCCACATGGAATAGGGGCTATAGTAAGGAGTAATATTGAGTAAGTTTGAGGAAAATACTTGGAAGATCCAACCCAGTGTTGTTTTTTATGTGTGTGTTCTTATTTTCCTGGACATGCTTCTCCCTACTCCCATTGTGTCTGTAATTAATTTATTTCATTCAATAATTGTTAGAAGATCCCACTAAAGCCACTATTTTCCCTTATGATTAAACTGTTGTCTTCTCCGTAGCCATATCCCATTGAGATTTTCATCATGATTTGCCTGCTTATATAAATTATTGATACACTGCAAACAGCAATGGAAGACACAGATCAAAAGATATAGCCAGATGCTCACTGTACCACAAGACCACTAAGGCCTCAAGAAACTTTCAGATGGAAATTCTGATGTACTATATGCAGGACTGTCAGTGATGCGATGGCTTCTTTGTAAATTATATGTGAGATCTTTTGTGTGTGGAACTCCCAAATAAATAATTTTGTTTGTACAAATATTTTGACAACTGCCACCATCAAATGTACAGAGTGTCCTGGATTTAAGGTAAGGAGTCCTCTATAATCAAAGTGCCCACTTGGTCCACAATTTGGAGAAACCAAAATACTAAGGCATTATAATGCTGATCTGGATTTTATTTCAATGCAATTCCAATTCAGTTTAACAGGATTCAAAGTACTGAATAGTACAACTCTCACTCACATGTGAGATTAAACAAGGTCAAGATTCTAGGCCGAATTTCAACCCGTATTTCAATATTATGTTGTGAGCTGCCCTGAGCCCATTCATAGGGTAGGGCAGGATACAAGTTTAATAAATAAACAAACAAACCCCAGCTATTACTTCAATGGTATAGGAGAGAGATGGCTTCTTTTTCATCAGGATTTGCCAGCACACCACCTGAGGAGAGAGAGAAGATCACTATCCTGGCTTAACAGATAAAGTAAGAAAACAAATTGCTGACCAGAGGCTGATGTTTATCTTCCCCACTTTCTTTCTTACACACATCCACCTCACCTTAAACCTCATAAAAGATTCCATTTATATTGATGCACTGAGTTCTGAATTTCAGCAAATATTCTGGGGGGAAAGTTTAGGATTCCTGCTCAGATGGGCTCATTTTCCAAGAACAGAAGAATCATAACATTAATTGCTGCACTATACCAAATTGTGAGTGTGTGTTGCAGCTGGAATGATAATCACTAGTAAAATATATCTCCTGGTGAATACAGACATGTATAACAATACTGTAGTCTAAAAATGTTCTGATTTTCTCTGCTGGTTCTTAGATGCACCTGGTAAATGTAGAAGGAGGAAACCAGTCAGCTCCTGTGGCATTTATTCTCCTGGACTTCAATACTGAGGATCTACAGATTTTACTTTTTATATTGTTTCTAGCTGTTTACCTTGTAACTATGGCGGGAAATATCCTCATTGTTATTCTAGTAGCCTTTGATCCCCTTCTTCACACCCCCATGTACTTCTTCCTGGGGAACCTGTCTTGTTTGGAGTCCTGCTACAGCTCGGCTATCCTGCCAAGAATGCTGGTTAGTTTTCTGAGTGGGGACAGAACCATATCTGTTAGTGCATGCCTTGCACAATTGTATTTATTTGGGGTTCTCGCAGGCACAGAATGTTACTTTCTAGCAGTAATGTCTTACGATCGTTATTTAGCAATATGCAAACCGCTGCATTATGCTATGCTCATGAATGGTAGAATTTGCATCCTGTTGATTGTTGTATCCTGGATATGTGGATCTATGGGTATTAGTGTCCTAATATCCCTGGTGTCTCAGTTGAATTTTTGTGGACCCAACAAAATCAACCATTTTTTCTGTGATTTCACCCCTTTGGTAATGCTCTCCTGCAATGATACTGCTTTGGCTGAAATTATAGCATTTACAGTCTCTTTTATATGCACTCTTCCTCCACTTTTGATAACCCTCACCTCTTATATTTGCATCATCAGTAGCATTTTAAGAATCCCATCCACTACAGGCAAACGGAAAGCTTTCTCCACTTGTTCCTCACACCTCACTGTGGTTTCTTGCTTCTATGGCTCTTTGATGATTGTCTACGTGTTACCAGGTATTGCCTCACTGAGTGAGGTCAAGAAATTGTTCTCTGTGTTCTACACACTTCTCACCCCTCTGCTGAATCCACTCATATACAGCCTGAGAAATAAAGAGGTAAAGGAAGCAGTGAGGAAAGGTTTCAGGAAACTTCACAGACTTAAAATGCAGAAGAGAAGGAACAAATGAAGCTTTGAGAACATTGGCTTCACAATCTGAATGTTTCACAATGGCTGATTATGAATGTGCTCATTTGAAATGCATTGTTGTCTTTGCAAATTTGGGAGTTGCTTTTTCAGACCTGCATTGTTGTCTTTGCAAATTTGGGAGTTGTTTTTCAGACCTGACTATGAAGTAGGAAGATTGAATGTATTATGTTTGATTGTGGTACCTGTTCCTGAAGAAGACACTGTGGAAAAGGGATTTTTACCAGTGCCCCATGAACAGGATCACTTTGACTCCATCAACATCAGACTTTATTGCTTCACTGGGAAGGACTGCTTCAGATAGGAATTATGTTAGGACTTTGAAGTGTCTTCAAATATTAGACTGTCACCAGAGTCATTTAGTATAATATTCTTCAGTCATAACATTTGTTAAAGGTTCACATACTATTTTTATACATTTTTCATTTTTATATTCATGGATTTATGGTCTTTTGTTTAATTTATCCATACTGTGAATCTCCTCTTTTTGCTTTGTTACTTCATTATGGAGGCAGGAACCCTGAAAATGGTCTACTTTGCTACTCATATTCTGTCCTGGTTGCATTCATATAGATTGTTTAACCTTTGATCATCCATTATATAGATATGGTTTGTCCAGATATGTCAAATATTTCCTTTTGATCCATTGTTCGAAGGCATCTGTACAGATGAATGTAAAGCCCTTGAAAATGTATATTTTTAAGCAGCAATATTTTATAATGGACATCTAAGGTTTTTAATCCAATGAAAGTATGGACTAGAAGACTTTAAGAGTACTTCTAAAACAGACAAGCATAGAATTAAGAATGGGAATTGGAGGTGCAAGGCTTAGTAAGAAGAGGTCCTGCAGAGGTCCACAACAAACACACCACACAACAATTTTGGAATAAAAAACAGGCCATAGCTTTTATTGATTACAGACCAAAGGGGGGGGGGGGGGGGTTCCCGGAAGATCAAGCAACCTGTCTGCTGCCCGATAATCATGTCCCTCAGCCCGCCTGTTGAGGGAAAAACCCAGGAGTGACAAATACTACTGGTATCATGAGGGTGGCTGCCACTGAGTGGTACCAATTTGACTCCAGGGGGCAGCCTGGGCACAACCCCTGAGATGGGACTACTGCATGGTGGCTCGAACTCCCAGACCCCTTAAGGGGGTCTCCAAAAAAGGGGAGGTGGACACGCTGGCCTATCTCCCTGTAAAGGATCCACTCAGATGCGCAAAACCGCCAGCTGTGACAGCAAAGAACTTTAAAAAACCTTTAAACCCAGGGAGGGTGGGTGGGAATCCAATAAAAATCACATTGCCACACCTCACTGGCAGTGCTGCTTAAATTTCCCCAGGCAGGCTCTACATCATCACTGTGTAGAGCCCGTCAGATTCAAGGCAACCAATCAGCTGGTCCCACCCAGCTAACGTGGAGCCAGCCAATGTGGTCACCCCAGGTTCTTGCTTCTGCTGGCCGTTAGGCTGATGGGGGGGGGAGAAGACCTCCTCCAGCCCTCTTCTGCCCACGCAGCAATCCGGCCCTTTCAGGTTAGTCTCGGCCGTGTTTCTTTTCTTATGTCCGAAGTAAGAAAAAGAGCTAGGAGATGGCATGCCCATTGCAGGGACAGGAAAGTGAAATTGTAACAGGTGATGATGAGAAGGCAGAATTGCTCAATTCCTACTTTTCCTCAGTTTTCTCTTGTGAGGGAAATGGTGCTCAACATGGCAAAAACAGAACACATGATGAGGGAAGGGAGTTGCAGCCTAGGATCGGCACAGGGGTAGTACAAAAACACCTAGTTTTTAAAAATGAAACTAAGTCCTCAGGGCCAGATAAATTGTATCCAAGGGTACTAAAAGAACTCGCAGATATAATTTCTGTGCCTCTGTCAGGTAAGAATCAATGTGCACGTTCATGGAAGAGACAGCATAAGTTTTCTTAGCAAGCACATCGACTTAAAAATTCCTGGATATAGGCCTGCTTCAGGGAGTTTTTGAGATGTGGGGTACCCATGTGGACCTCTTTGCCACATATGAGGACAAGGAAGGCACCACAGTTTTGTTCCCTAGCAGGTAGTGATCCAGCCTCATTGGGAGATGCATCCCAAATTCCTTCGTCGGGGACCCTATCCTACGCCTTCCCTCCCTTTCCCCTCTTGAGCAGGGTTATTGAGAAGCTGGCAGTAGAGGGTTTGGATTGTATCCTGATAGCCCCTATGGCTGTGCCATATTGGTTTTCTGAGCTCCTCCATCTTCTGGGGTCAAAGTACATCAGCCTTCCCTCTGCCCCAGACTTGCTTATGTGGGAGCCTATTCTGCACCACAATGTGTCCCCGCTTATACCTTATGGTGTGGAGGATGACTCATGGTTATGTCAGCACAATATGACTTCTTTGTTGTGTTACTAAGAAAAAGACTTGAAAGAGCCCAAGGCCCAGGCAAACATGCTCTCCATTACCTTCCTATTCACGTTGCTACAAGCCTCATATATTTCTAGGCCTTAAGGTTTAAAGGGATTATTCAGAGTTACTTACTATACCAGAACTATAGATTTTCTTCTCACACAATAAATTGTAGGTCAGCTATATTAAACTGAGATAGCCAAAGCTAATTTTTCCATTTACTCATGGAACCTTTAATATTGTCCCAGAGGGTAATTGCTCCCAGAGTACTTGTGCAGAGCACATTTCCTATCCACTTGATCTAATTCATACTTGACACCATTGTTTTTCATTATACTTTATCAACGGTTCTACAACATAAACACAAGTTCAGTTCTCAGGCATGAGATACATAATAAGCAAAGCAACGCCATAACTCCATCCCACCTCCAGCTGGTTGACCTTGAGCAGTTCCGCAGATGTAGCAAGCAAAAGAAAGTAAATACTTACACAGGGGAATACAGGGGGGGATGGACAGAGTACATTATAACATGTAGAAAAGAACACACCACCTTATGGCAGCTTGCTGACATACTGCCCACCTGAAAATACCCTTTAACCACCTTCTCCCGGACTGGGCGGGAGACCTCCCGGTTTGTCCGGGAACTTTTTGTGGAATTCTCTGAGCATGTAAGGGGCCCGAATATCCCCTTCTTCCACCCATTCCCGGTGCTGGGGCCCGAAGTCCACCCACTCTATCAGGTAAAACAGTTTACCACGTTTCAACTTAGAATCCAGAATGTTAGCAATTTCAAAATGTTCTTCCCCCTCCACCAACACCGGAGGAGGGGACATCTGTGAAGGCCTCCACTGTGATTTACCAGAGTCCTTTTTGAGGAGGCTCATATGGAAAACAGGGTGCAAGGATTTCAAGTTCTTAGGCAGGTCCACTTCAACAGCAACTTCATTTATCAGTCTACGTACTGGGAAGGGTCCAATGTACTTCCACCCCAATTTTTGGCAAGGTCTGAGCAGTCTCATATTTTTCATTGACACATATACTAAATCACCAGGCTGCAGATCCCAACCCACCGCCCGACCTCTGTCAGCCTGTAGTTTGTAAGCGGCTTTCGCCGCATCCAACGTTTGGCATAGGATTGGCCAAACTGCTTGCAATGACTTACACCAAGAACCAGTGTCACTAGGCTGCAGAGGTTTATCCCCCCCTAGGAAAGGCAGAGGAGGGCAGTCATAACCATATACAGCTTTGAAAGGCGACATACCAATGGAACTATGCATAGTGTTATTATAACAGTATTCTGCCAGCGGCAGTAGGTCACACCAGTCATTGTGTTGATAGTTTGTAAAGCATCTCAAATACTGTTCCAGAGTTTGGTTAACTCGTTCCGTCTGGCCGTCAGTCTCTGGATGGTAAGCACTACTGAGCCCTTGCTCCACCCCCATGATTGCTAAGAGTTCCTTCCAGAATTTAGAAATAAACTGTGTACCCCTGTCCATAATTATCTTAGTTGGCAAGAGATGAAGTCGCACGACATGTTGGAGGAAAGCCTTAGCCAGCCTTTGGGCCGTAGGTAAGGATGGCAGAGGAATGAAGTGAGCTTGCTTGGAAAACAGATCAACCACCACCCAAATAACAGATTTCCCCTTGCTGAGCGGTAGATCTGTGATGAAATCCATCGAGATGACTTCCCATGGTCTATTGGGGGTTGGCAAGGGCTTCAGCAGACCCGGCGCTTTCCCCCCTTTGGTTTAGTCAAGGCACACATTTGGCAGGAACACACAAAGTCCAACAGATCTTTGCGCATGTGCGGCCACCAGAATTGACGGCGCAGTAGTTGCAGGGACTTCACAAAGCCCCAATGCCCCGCCAACTTCGTCCCATGGGCCGCTTAGAGGACTTCCCTGCGGAGAGAAAAAGGCACATAGAGTCTGTTTCCGGAGTAAACCAAGCCCTCCTGGTCCCGTACACAATCAGGCACCCCCCTCAGTACTTCTTCATCCTGTGTGGAAAGCTCAGCAACGTAGCGGCTATGCCAATCCCCCCCCACAGGCAAGGTGGGAGGAGGAGGAGCAGGAGGAGAGGGGGCCGTGGGAAGTCTTTGCGCTTGACGGCGAGTGACCACTGCCCCACCCAATTGGGCAGGGGTGAAAATCGAGTCAATGATGATGTCATGTTGACTCTCGTGTTGCGGAAGGCGGGACAAGCCATCAGCCAAGGAGTTAGCCGAGCCCGGGAAATGATGGAGAGTGAATTGGAACTTGGAAAAAAATCCGCCCAGTGCAGTTGCTTGGCGTTCAGCATTTTAGGCGATTTGAGGGTTTCAAGATTCTTATGATCTGTCCATACTTCGAACGGAACCCTCGCCCCCTCAAGCCAATGGCGCCACGTTGACAAAGCCAGCCGGATAGCTGACGCCTTTTTCTCCCAAATAGACCAGTGCCTTTCAGCATCTGAGAACTTTTTAGACATGTACGCTAGTGGGTGCAATTTCCCGTCCTCCCCCCTTTGTAAAATTGCAGCCCCCATAGCCACATTGGAAGCGTCAGTTTGCACAATGAATGTTTTCATTTCATCCGGGTGCGCTAGCACAGGCT